ACTTCTATTTCAAAATTTGAGACATTGCAGTCATCATCATAAACTTTCAAGATTGGAGGGTTGACTTCACGTCAACGGCATTATTGTTCTTCCTTTTACTGTGCTTTTTCTTTAGTTATTTTTCCTCTTCCTTCTGGTCTTCGCATATAAAGTCATTCAAAAGGGGATCTACAAGATCTACTGCATATTTAGAGAATATATCAGAGCCAGATCGAGAGGAAGCAATCAACAACACATGCTTAGTTGCAAACTCTGTAAGTATTTACTTCCATCTCACTGCCTAGTTATCTTTTTCTTCTGTTTTCTCTCTTCTTTTCTCTTCTTTTCTCTTTTTTGGATGATTTTGTAGTATTTGTTATAGGATAAGCTGTACAACTTATGATCTGTGCTTTCACCCTTCTCCAGCTATTGCATAATCGTGGTAAAATCCATACTCGACTCCAAAGAGTATAGATCTACATTAATTATTCCCAAGTAATCAGTGGAATTTGCTATCTGATGACATTTAAGAAGCTATATATCTCAACTAGGTATGTAAGAGTTTTCCGTTCTTCTTTGATTGTGTTTCTTTTTTCCTTTTCTGATTTTTTTACATCAGCTGCTAGGTTATTTACATTTTTTTCACTTTTTAAATATCTTTCTAACTTATTAAACATTTAAACTTAAAATCTTTATATTAAAAATGTTAAATTTAATTTTAACCAATTAAGTCTCCTTGGGACATCTTTTTTCTTTTCTTTTCTTATAAAAACATACACATCAAAAATTTAAAAATTTTATTTTCTGCTAAAAAAATTTTAAATATTCTTTACTTTCTTTTTAATTGTGTAAAAATTTTATTTACCATTAAACTTATATATTACCACTTAAATTACACTAGTATTTCAAATTTTGAGACATCGCACTTATCTTTAGAAATTTATAAATGGAGGGTTGATTTCACGTCCACGACAGTATTGTTTTTGCCCTTTATTGTGCCTCTCTTTAGTTAATTTTCGTTTTTCTTTTGGTCTTGATATATATGATCATTCTAAAACAGATTTACATGATCTACTACATATTAAGAGAATCTCAAAGCCAGATCGAGAGGAAGCAATCAACAACACATGCTTAGTTACAGACTCTGTAAGTATTTACTTCCATCTCCTTGTCTACCACCTTCTTCTTCTTTTTTCTTTTGATGATTTTGTAGTATTGGTTATAGTACAAGTGGACAACTTATGATCTGTGCTTGCACACTCTTTTCCAGATATTGCATCATCTTGGTGAAATCCATACTCTACTTCAAAGAGTAAAGCATAGATTTACATTAAATATTCCTAAGCAATCAGTGAAATTTGCTATCTGCGATTGAAGAAGCTGTATATCTCAATTCTTAACTAGGTATGTAAGAGTTTCTTTTCTTCCCAGGTTGCATTCTTCTCTTTGTCCTTTTTTTTTTTTTTTTTTTCTTTTTCTGTTGTATTAGATGATAGGTTATAGGCATTTTTCATTTTTCAAATCTTTTCCCAACTAATAAAAGATTTATATCTAAACTTGATATAAATTTTAATTTCAACTAATTAATTAATTCTCCTTGGTACATCTTTTCTCGCTTTTTTAATTTCTTACGAAAACAGATGCTAAACAACTGAGAAAGAGAAAGATAAAACATAAGAAAAGTTAGGTAATGTACATGTTTGGTCGCCTACCTTTATCATAATTTTTAATTTAGTCATCTTATTTTTAATTTGTAAATTTAGTCACTGATCACCTTTTCATTAACTTTCAATTAAGTCATTTTTTTTAATCTTAATTCTCACAGTCATAGCTATCTCACCATTTACTCTCTCCGAGCATTAATTAAGATACTCTACTATTTCTTGTAACTATTTCTCTTTCTGCTCAATTTTATATTTGTAATGATACTCATGTTATGCAATTCGAAACTAAAACATCTTAATTTTATAGAAGATTATCAATGAACTACTTGAATAGTTAGTAGCCCCTATTTTTTTTTTATATATATATTGTAGTAAATAAATAATAAATAAAATTTATTTTATCAAATAAAACTACTTAACAAAAATTATAATATGAAAAAAATCTTTCAATTTTTATTTATATTCTATTAGATGTGTAAAAAAAAAAAAAACACTACTTTTAGACAAGGGTAGTAATATTTTTACTTAGTTTAAAAAAATATTACTAAATTTATTTTCGTTTAGCATTGCACATGTCATTCCTTAACTATGAATAGGAGTCCAATTTAATTAATCTTTTTTTTCTTTTATTTAGCATATCAGACTAATGCTGGCGTATACTTGTAGTTTTAGGTCTTTTTATTTTTTAATACTTTAAAAATATATAATATATTTAATATTTATTTTAATTAATAGTTTATATATTTTTAA